GCCGCCTTGAAATAAAAACATACACAGAGGAATACTACAGTACACACAGGAAAATGAGTTACACATAGCAAAAGAGAGACGTATGTATTGGGGACTGGAGGGCACACGTGACGACTCGGAGAAAAACATATGAAAGACAGACACAGAGCCAAGAACTCTTTTAGCATAGTTGACATTAAGAGAAAACGTGTGTTTTTGTGTGTGTGTGTAAATGTATAGTATAAAAGGTTTCTTGCATATAATGGGTTTCGACCCGAGGTCGTGGCCGCAGCTACCAGCTTGTGTTAAAAGCGCACAAACTTCCTGACTGTTCCCTAAAAATGTGCGTCCAATGGAAGGTGAACGGTTCTCCTGTCCATACTTTCCTCAAAAATCAGCCATGATGTCACCATGAACCCATCTTGAACCCACCTCTGTCAGAAAGCATTACTCCCTCCCTCCCCCCCTCCCTCTGCTTTATTTTCTCCTCCACCTCTCCCTCCTTCACGCTCCGTCCCTGCCTCTCAAGTTTTTTTTTTCCTCCAGTTCTTTTTCTTCCCTTCTTTCCATATTTCCATATTCTTCAACGTTTCCCCTCTCCCGTCCATGTCTCCTCTCCCTCGCTAACTCACACACACTTATTTGCTGGCAAGCATCGTCTAATTAAATCCCCCGAAAAAGCGCAACTGTTTGCCAGAAATGCCAGGATGTTCTGATTATCATAAACTTTGTTTAAGCTGTGGTTTTACAAAAAGATTGCTCTGAGTGCGTGAGAGGACGCCAAGATATAAAACGCTTAAAAGGGGAAAAAAAAAAAAAAAAAAGAAGGAATAGAGGGAGAATGCAAATGAAAAAGGGGGAGAGAGGAGGAGGGACAAGAGTGGGGAAGAGAAGGGTGGTGGGGGCAGCCAGAAGGCAGCCAGAGAGCCACATATGGAAGTGATTCTGTAATTACTGCAAATCTGTGAGCTCAAAAGGAAAGGTCTTCTTTTCCATGCCTCCTGCCCTGCACATAAAACTGCCCTTGTGAGAAAGCCGGGCACTAAATACTCCACAGGAAACATGAAAAATAACAAGGTTTTCATTTGCTTTTGCTCGCTGGCGTGTTGAGTTGGAGTATAAATATGTATATCATGTACAGTAGGGACATTATGTTCGGTTGGAATGGAAGTAGGAAATTCACTGTTTTAACAAGGCTGCTTTGCCTCTGTGAAATATGTAACGGGGTCATTTTGGACCAGGTCCAGGGCAATCTGATCAAATGTTGTAGCTATCTTTGAGCTACAGTAACTATAAACTACTGTTAAGCTACTGTTTAACTTCTTGTCTTTTGGTTGTTTTTTTTTTTGGGTGGGGGAAGTAACATTTAGTTGTGGGTGAGTTTTGGCCTAATAAAATGACTAATACTGATTATCTTTTTATGTGTGGCTTACTTTTCACATGTTATTATGTTTTGTGTTAACTGCTAATTCTGGCTGTTTTTACGTTTACCTGACTTTAGTGGTTAACCTCTAGCAATTTTACTTGTAACTTTTTATTACTAAATAAACTTTTGGCTACATTTAGACTATTACTTTTTGGGCTAACATTAAGATACCTTTCTAGCTACAAATAATAGAAATTATTGTACTGAATGTGGGATTACTCTGTTGCTCTCCTGATTAGTCAAAGTCTCAGGTGTTTTTTGTTTTGTTTTTGCTACACATAACCCTTTTGACAAGTGTTTAATGTCTCGACACCAACTATAAACTACTGTTAAGCTATGAGCTATTCTAAGCTTTGGCCAACATTCAATTATCCTCTAGCTTTTTTTGCTAACTGACTGACTAGCACCTATTTAAGACAGCTACACTAGACTTGATAGACTAGAATTTTCAGGTAAAGTCTTAATTGTAGCTTTAGCTTTAGCATTTTTACTGACATCTTTCTATTACAAAATATAGCTAAGCTACATTTATAGTACTTTCCATGTAGTAGGATGTTACTAGTTATTTTATATTAACCACATTAGCTGAAACTTGTTCTAGCTATAGTTTTGGACAAGGTTTACTTATCTGTATCTACTGGTTAGCGTGGACTAATTAGGTTAGGAAATAGCACAAACCACTCGTTGTGCCTCAAGTTTCGGTTGCACCGTGCCATATTGTGGTTTAAAGCTCTGGAGTTGTGCAAGTGATTTTCCACTGAACTTGTGCAAAGTGCGATTTTAAGATAGCGTTATATTTATGAGTTCAGGTTTAGTTTTTTTTTTTATTATTATTATTTTAAAATCCTTTTACCTGTGCTCATCGCGAGTTCTATCCTGCCGTCTACCGCTAGAGTTTTTCCCTCTGGGTTCTTAAGTCATTCTGATGAACTCAATGAAGTGTCCTGGAAGTAGATCTAAGACCAACCCTGTGGTTCGGCTTGGAATAAACTTTAGTACCTCATCATCCCCATGTCTACAGCTGGCACTCTTCTCATAAAGCACACATTCAGGCAGGAGTTTGTGCAGGAAGAGTAGTAGTTTGGAAGAGGAGGAGGAGGAGGAGGAGGAGGCGGGAGGTGCAGACAAACAGGCACAGAGACACGGAGAGACAGTGATGAAGTCTGTCTTTAAGCCTGGGGCGAAGCAGGGCTTTACAGGTGTGTGCGTTGGCAGTGACTGCTGTTCTACTCAGTCACCAAACAGTTTGAGCAGCCTGTAATTATCTCATGCCCTGCCATAACGTGTTCTCATGACGACTACACACACACACACACACAACCACTCGCATAGTTGACACACACCCTGATTGAGGCAGCGAGAGCTGCTTTTATTCTTCAGGACACACCCGATTAATCACGACAGGAGATGATTTATGAAAAGTTCACCAGCCTACCTTGTTTCTGCAGCGAATGCCTCCGCTTCAAACGCACAACAAACACATCAACACCACGAACACATCCTCTACCCCGGGAGTTTGAAGTGCTGACAGTGGAGGATGACGAGAAGCAGCGAGATCTCCGCCAACAAAACTTCGTTCGTTCGTTTGTGTGTTTGTTTGGTTGTTTGTTTATTTGTGTCTGTGGAGGAGACGCCGGTGGGTGGTCGGTCCTCGGTGAGCCTCCTTCTCCTCAGCTACAGTCAGTTTGGATCAGCCCTCGGAGGTCATTTCACTCATTTTTCACACTCGCGGCTTACCAATCCGTCACCGTGTCACGGCTACAGCGGCAGCTCAGGGGCGTCGATGAGCAGGCGCCGTGAGAAAACATCTGCGGCACTGTGTCGACCTCTAGTGGTGTATTGAAGCACAGCGGGTGTATGGGGAAAACAATCAGCTTTTTATATGGAAAACTTTTGTTAATTAAATTTTTTTTATTTAATTTTTGAATCAATAAATAAACATACACTTTAAACGAACATATATAAAATCAGTTAATTTACCTCATCCCCAATCTGCATGTTTTTGGACTGACCCTTTGGACTGTCCACACACAGGGAGAACATTCAAAGTTTTTTTTTTCCTTAACTTTTGAAAGGTAAAATAGCTAAATAAAGCCTAGCACAAAAAGCAAAAAACAAAACAAAAAACATCGACTTTCAGTTACAGCATTTAAAGACTGGAGGATGTGTCTTCATACATGTGCGTGGGTCCAGAAAACTCAACTTCTAAAATGACCCATTTATATAGAACATTTTTGTTGAGCAACATTATTTCCTGAGGGAGTGCTGAATTCCTGTGACTAAGTGTTGCCCTGCCCAGAAGAAGTTAATGCACATTGAGCAGTGGTTCCTGCTTTCACTTTCAGTCTATGATTGCAGAAGTTCTCCCTGACCACAAGATTCAACACTCTTATTTATCACATCTGAATCATGCATGCACGAGTCTCTTCACAATATTTAATACTTTAAATAATGACTGCTATATAACCAAGGGCTTGTTGGGTCATGCCAACTATTAAACAGTGCTGAAGAAGTAGCTATCTCTCTAACTTGGTGATGAGCATGGCACCGTCCCCACACACGCTGCCCACTGCTCACGTTGGTGATGGGTTAAAAGCAGAGGCTCAATTTCGTTGTATCCCCGTGGTACAATGACAATGAAGACCTTTTTTAAAAAAGTGAGTTTTAGGTGTCATTACTAAAACTCGCCATTAGAGGGCAGTTTCCCCACACTGTGTTTACATTTAAACTTGGACGTTTTGGTAATATGTGCATTTTGTGTGCAGTTCTTCGGTGTGACCTTTGACGGTGACGTATCCATACGTGACAATGAGTGACATGTCTCGTCACTGTACTGTACAGCCTACAGTAACCACTGAAATCTACCAACTCCAGGAAGTAAAAATCTCGATTTTTGCTTTTTTTTTTCATTTCATGTTCCCACATTAATAAGTTGATCATTTGGATTATTATAACATATAACAGTCTACATGCTGTTGTTTGTCTTTCTGTCGTAGGAATGTTGATTTGTTTAATAGTGATTACACCAGTGATATATTGTCATTATTCCATTATATTTTTAATCGCCTTTTTTATATATATATATTTTATGGTTATACTGTAGGTGTGCTCCTCTTCTTATCAGGGTGTATTTAAAACATTGTCTTTTCTTACTGATTAGTGCATGACTCGTTCTTCTCTAGGGGCTGGGAAATAAAGTGGGCGGGGCTTCATTTGGCCCGCGGCACCAAATAATAGGTTGGGTTCTCCTGTCTTGATGTTTGATGTTTGTTTACCTAGCGTGTGTCGGTGGTCAGGCGGTCACGGTGAGCCACGCCTCGCGTCCATGTGCCCTGTCCAACAACCTCTCCATCTCTGTGCAGCACGCGCGCCGTGTTTTGCATAAAATGTGTATCAGTAGGACAGCGCCGTCCGCCGCACATGCAGAGCGCACATGCGGCGTGGGTTTAAGTGAACTCACAGCGCGGTGGAATAAGCGCATGAAGCAGCCCTCAGCTCCGCCAATGAAAAGGCAGAAAAGAGCGAAGAAAGGAGGGGTGAGGAGGAAGAAGAAAGGGGGGGGAGGGGGGGGGGGGGGGTTACAAAGAGGGAGACAATCATCCACACAAACAGAAACAAGTTGAAGCGGAAGCCAAGGCGGTCACACTCCCCTCTCACCTGCAAACGTGATTGTGTCTCTGTATCAGTGGGTGTGTGTTTATGTTTGCGTGTGGGCGTGGGTCATGTCCGACAACACAGTCGTGGATTTGCTGACTCCACTTTCTTGGATTTCATGACAGTCCTCCAAGCCCCACTCCAGATAAGTCCAGAGAGGAGACCCGCGTGTCTCAGTCCCACTCACCTTTAAAACACACAACTAGTGACAGCAGACATCTGCTCACACCTCACCGAGGAACACCTCACAGACAGGAGACATCTGCTCACACCTCACCGAGGAACATCTCACCGCTGCCTCCCGTTCCTGCTCCATGGGACAGGTGTTTTCACGCAGCAGCGGTTCCTGACTTTCCCACCAGTCTTTGCGACACTTTTGCTCCGGCGTGAGATCGTTCATTCACAGAAGACTATCCTCGAGTTTGAACCAATTCATCGACCGCAACCAGAAGAACCATGGACAACAGCTCTGGTAGGATTTTCACCTTTTCCCCTGCTCTGATAAGCTGCCGTGTCTGCACCGCCTTATGCCAAGTGACAGAGATCTTTGATTTTAATTATAACTGTTTTAATGATAATGTTGATTATGATACACAAACGTCACAGACCTGTGATGATGGCAACTTTTTAAATGACTGTCAAGACTTAGCTGTTAGTGGAATTGAATGTAGCTTTATAAGAAATATATATATGCATGTATATATATGTACATATAGATATATATACACAATTCGCAGCTGTCTAAAATCACTAAAGTTGTGTTTGCAAATGAGTTTTCTCCCACGTCACTAAAGTTGTGTTTGCAAATGAGTTATCTAGCTATCTCTCTGTCATTAAATATGGGTATATATTTATGTGTATCTATATATGTATATATTTCTTCATCTATCTATCTATCTGTCTATCTGTCAATATATATATACATGTACATATATGTGTGTGTATCTATATATGTATATATTTCTATATCTATTTATCTATCTTGTTTTTTGACCTAGAGTGGCCCGTGTCATATACATGATTTTTTTTCCATTATTATTAACATAGCTCTAACGACACCACTATCTAATCTACTGTATGTGATAGTGGTTCAACAGCACTACTTTACGCACAGTTTACCACTGCTCTCCTCTAAAGTTTGCATCACGTTGTGCCACAAAGTTCCAGTGGCACAGGAACCGAAGCTCCTCCGCTGTGGGAGTGGGCGCCGCGTCCATTCCGTGTTTATCTCCATGAAAACAAAGTCACGTGGAACTGTCACAGTGATCATAATCTGCCAGAGTGACTGCGATACATGACTCTTGTCATCTCACGCGAGTGAAAGAGACGTCTGGCACACGGGGCGTGTTTGTTTCAGCCATTACGGCCAGGGCTGCTCCATAACCCCCCCGATGATAACCTGTTTAAAGCGGCGTCAGCCTACGTGGTCGGCGGGGTCAGCCAACGGTGAACATCATCTGTCCCGGTCCCTCTCCTAATTGACAGTGAATCATTGACAGCAGCGGCCCGGTCACGTTTCAGTGCAGGTGATGGGCGCAGCCAGTGCTGCTGGAGGCAACATTGAACCTTCTCACCGGGTTATGACTTCCTATTTACCTTGATAAAGTAGGACAAGGTTTTCCATGGAAGGCAGTTACAGTTCTAATCATAGATTACAGCTGTAGTATTTCACAATAAAAAAGGGAAGGGCCGCGGCGTTTTTGTTGCCATATGTATGTCTTCTCTGCACAAATGTCACTATTTGTTTGCTTATGAAATAGTTTTATTTTAGTGACTGCACATATTTTTTCACCTGCCAGTCATCGGTGACCACTGTAAACTTGGCTCACTGACCTTTAAAATTGTCTTAAGGTTATTGGAATGCACACGTCTCCATTCCACGTACACTTACGTCCAGTGTCATCTAAATAAAGCTCATAAATGTTATTATAACCCAGCGAAACAGTTGCTGCTGTTCCAGGCCGTTGGGCTCATAAAGTCCAGTAGATCGAATAAGATTGTATGTGTATGTCTCTCTCTCTCCCTCTCTCTCCCTCACGCTCGTCTTGTGCCCCCCCACCCCACCCCCCAGCTGCACTCACTGACCTTGTCAAGATCTGTACCCTAATCCTAATGTACAGTAATATAAATCACACATTTACACAGTGACAGTGCATTAAAAAAAACTGACACGAGACCAGTGGCTGGAAGAAGTGAGGGAGTTTCTCTGGCATATCTAGTTCTCTTTGGTTTGTAATGATCCATAATCCATCCATCGGCCACATAGTGGAAGAGTGGTCACTGTAGTTTGCTTGCCTTATAGGGTGATTGCTGGTTCAATTCCCAGTCTGTCTATGTGGACTTTGTGTGCCAGTTTTGTCGCCTGATTCTTGTTTTCTACTCGCGGTCAAATGACACAAAGTATTTCACTGATTGGACACTTTCAGTTGACCATTGGTGTGACTGTGAAGGTGATAACTGTTGGTCTATATACGTGGCCCAGTGATGGACTGGCAAAGTGTACTGGGTGAACTCCGCCCTCACTGATGACTGCTGGGATTGGCTCCAGCTTGGTTCCCACAGCACTAAAAGGGATTAAGCAACAGAGAAAACTGGCTTGTACTGCTAAAGATATATTATACACAACACTGCATTCCTACTTCTTACAAATTAAATTATACTTCTGTCTCCAGCCAGGGTGGCTGTGAATGCAGTTATACATTTCCTGACCCTGAGTTTGTTTGTTTTTTTATTAATTTATTATTTTTTTTAAGATTCAACTAGACTTCTGTAGCTAACATAACATCCGTGACATAAGTCAGTATTATTGCAGTTTAATGCATGTGCAAATATAACATGTTAAACCAGTGTTTGCCAACCTTTTTTTCTGGGGACCAATATTTCAAAAGTCACAAACCTTTGCATCCCAAATCAATAGACATTATTCGTAAACTCCAGGGAAACATGATGGAAGACGACGAAAAAATCTCTTGCGACCCACCTGAGGGTCGCCACCCAGTCTTTGGGAAACAATGTGTCAAAGGATTACAGTTTAGACAAGTATGAACTTGAGTGGGATCGTGTTAGCTGCTAACACAGCAGCTAATGTTGCTAAAAGTAAGTAAAAATATAGATGTAAAAATATGAAAAAGAAAAAAAAGTTTTTAAAGAGTAGTTGTGGTTTTAGCGTACTACGAGAATATGTCTTGTCAAAACCACTATTTCTAGTACAGACGGCCTGTGTCACAAACCTGACTCAATGACTCAGTGTGGTATTGTTGAACTTTTTGTACAATGACCTACTTTCACTGATGATAAACGGTTGTGACCCAATTTGCAACAAAGATATGAATTGTTGTAAAAATCTTTAAAATCCTATAGAAAAAAAATCAAAATATATAAATAATACTGGTTAACTGTAACTATACATGAACAGGAAACAAAATAATGAAAGTAAAATAAATCACTGGGACTGTATGTTGGTACGCATGACAGTTTCATACACATGAAACAGTGGCGCCCTTTTATCATGATTAGTGTAGAAGGTAAAAATCCCTACAGTCAATGAGTACAGGGCCACGGCCCATGTGGATGGCAGTCACTGATTGGTTGTCGCAAAGTATACAATCAATCAAAGGAATAGAAAAATGAAAAATCTTGCACCATTTGTTCAGCGGTTGTTTCTTGTAATAACCACCAGTTGTTGTATTTTTTTTTGGGGGGGGGTTAAACTGGGAAACATCAATGTAAGCAGGAAGGAGTTGCATTTTATTTATTATTATTTGTGTTCATACAAAATGATGTGTGATAAATGTAAATAGTAAAAAAAAAAAACAAAACAGCTGGACGTGTCGGTCAAAGTCATCATGTAAATGTTGATGATTGGTTTGGTTGATTGGTGCTGTTTTGTGACGTCTGTAGGTCACCTCTCGCCCGGGATTTACGGTCCTGTCTAATCAGACATAGTGACAGTACAAACAACCATGGCATAAATAATCCAATGTCAGGAGAAATTAGTGTTTGATAAAAATGACTTTGTGTAATGCAGGTGCTTTTCTTTATTTTTTAAAGGAATTGGAGAAAATGCTCACAAAGTTTTTCTGTGACCCAGATTTGGGCCCCGACCCAGTGTTTGGTAAAGACTGACCCTGTCCTTTTAACTGCAGCCTATATCTGCCCCGAAGTAGACTTTATGGAAACAGCTAATCCACTCCAGCTTTAAATAACCAGGGCTTTGGGAACAATGTCACCACCGTGTGCGTTTCTTCATATTAAAAACCGGGGTGTCAAGGTCACATGCTGACATAAATTTGCTCTCATGCAGCGTTTGAATGACAGAGCAGGCGGTGCTATTGCTGCTGCTGAAGCTGGAGGTGGTGATGATGGTGCACAGTCACAGTCAGGTCCCCCTCCCTCCCTCGGTGAATATCACGCTGTTCTATTTAATTTAACTCCCCAGTTACAGTACAAGCCCCTGGCTGCCGGGCTGCACAGGGAGGATCTGGCTGCTGGCTGCTCCACGTCTTCCAATAAAAGCCCTGTCAGAAGCCTCCTCACGTGGCTTCGCTGGCACAGCCGCGTGCGACGCGTGAGACGTCCCTCGACTCCCTCTCCCTCCGCAGTGGCGGCTCTCACGGAAGATGCTGTTGGCGGTGAGGATGGTGATGGTGCTGAGGGGGAGAGAGAGAGAGAGAGAGAGAGAGCTTGGTCAGTGGGTCAGCGATTCCGTGCATCGACTCTTCCCCCGTCCCTCTCGTCACGTTTCTGCGCCTCATGCGCCTGTCTCTCGTGTTTTGCCCCGTCCGTTCACCTCCCATCAGAATGTCAGTGTGACTGGCGCTGAGTCAGTTGTGACTCTGCAACATCTGTCTGAAACTCTTTAAACCTTCGTGATCAGGGCGCAAAGCCGCGTGTTTCAATGTGACTCCACTGTCTAACATTGATTAATTCAAATTAGTTGAATCACTGTCTAACATTGATTAATTCAAATTAATAAGTTGAATTGATTTTATTATATATAGGAATGTTAAAGAATTTATTATATATATATGTATGTATATGAGACATCTGGACTGCAGGCAGGACAGTTGATTAATGGCCACCATACTTTTGTCATCTGGTACCATCTGGGTTAGCACTAAAGACTCGTCCACAATGTGACCCTGAGGTTATTTTTTTTTTAGAATTCTAAATGTAGAGCAAGATGTCTTTAAACTTGGGTTTTGGAAAAGTCAAATAGTCATGGATTTGTAATTATGTCAGACGTTGAGCCCGGGATTTGTTTTGACAGTGTCTGGAGACTAATAAATGAAAATGTCTGTGTCTCCACCCAGCATACATTTCTCAAAAATGGCACATCAATCACTCAACAATCTCCTGTTCATCACAATTCCTCTGGATCGAGTTTCCATACGCATTCCTACTTATATTTAAAGGCTACGTTTCAATGTCAATACAATTAAATGCTAACATTTATATATATTAAAAATAAACAGGATTGCAAAATAAAATACAATATCGTCTACTATTTCCACCCCTGATAACTATTTGAGCCGGAGCTGCAGTGTGATGCAGCATCAGTTTTTGGAGGACACTGGAGGCACATCGACACAGTTCTATCAAGCTCCTGTGATATTGACCTACTTATACACAAGTCAGAGTTAATGAAGTCTGCAGCGCAGGCTGAAGTGGCTCTGCTCACACAGCAGCCGATTCAATTGGCCACTTACTTTTTCGGTCACGACATAATAAGCACAGGATCTGCTGCCAGAAGCCACGCAGTGACATTATAAACCTCAAACCACAGGGGCACACAAAACACAGTCAACACTCAAACACTGTCTATGTGGAGCTTTACAGCAAAAGGAACAACTAGAAAGAAAGAAAGAATAAAACAACGCAGGTGAGACTGTGGCCTGTTCACCGCTCACGTTTCCCAGCCTCCAGCCCCGGGCAGATGAGTTCTCCTGGGGGAAGTTTAAAAACTAAGTTTAATACAGACAGCACTGACTTTTTTGACTCGCTGTCTGCAGTGACCTACATTTGTACTGTCGTGTTTTTTTTTTTTTGCAAAAAGACAGTGCAAGGGAAGACTGATTTCGTGCATGGGAAACCCTGAGGTGTATCCTTAAAAAATGTAAGGAAAATCTAGAGTAACCTGTTATATCCTACATCTGACTGTTGGTGCTCTTGTCCAGTACCAGTTCATCTGGTACTATTCTATAATTATCAACCATTTTTACTGCAGTTTACACTTGCAGATCGCAGACTGAATTTTTTAGGAAAGTTTGCATTTCCTTAACATGTAAGAGCATGTTTTCTCTTTCTAAGGACTTAGTCCTGATCAGTACTTTGTCCTGGCTGTTACTACCATATAATGCTATCTCCTGCTTTGCTCTGGCGCTTTAAGTTTATTATGATGCACGCACAGCTAGAGACCTCATTGTTTCTGCTGCAGGTGCATGCATACACACAAGTGGCATGGAATGCATTTTTTTTTACATATACCTGTCACTTTGGTTTTGTTGCACCTGAGAGCGTGAGAGTGCAGACCACGTGCACATACTGTACATCCTCACCCCATACTGTCACACATTGAGTTCAATCTAGGGGAAGCTCTGAACTATATATAAAACTAATGGGGTTGGCAAACGCACAGATACATTTAGATACATCTAAGATGACCTGAATAAAATATTTGACAATAAACATTACGAGAACATGCAAATCCAAACACTGGCCAAAACGGCCTAGATTGAATCTGAAGTCCCATATTCCTGTCGTTGCATCTTATATTAGACTAGTGGTTCCCAAAGTGGGGGTCTGGTCCCTTTCTAAACATTACGAGAACATGCAAATCCAAAAACTGGCCAAAACGGCCTAGATTGAATTTGACGGGGGCACAAAGCTATTGCCTCTGGGACGCAACAGAGCAAATGAAGATTCGGTTTTAGGATTTTTTTTAATTGTACCCACTGACTTGCAATTTTATTTCCTTTGTTTAATATGAATACCACATTACAGAAATTTAAATAAAGTTGAGTGGAGAATTAAAGAAAAAGTTGTAGGATAGGATTTGGTAACTAGGCATGGAAAAAATGAGGAAAGAATAGTTATTTTTAAAGACTTGCTTTTAAATTTTTAAAAATATATTAACTATTTGTAGGCTAAACAATATATATATGTAAAACAAACAGATTTGACTGCTGATAGGGCCAACGTGATGTCATTTCCCTAACCTTTTCACCATTGGTTCATACCTATCTATCGACAACCTCCTGGAAAGCAGACTGTAAAAAAACCTTGTTGACACCTTTACCACTTCAGAGGGTTAGGGGGCAGCTGGAGGTGGGTTGGAGGGAGGGGGAGTCATTCATAAACTCATGAACATGTGAGTTTTCAGGTGGACGTGCAATGTGTTTGTGTTGCGAGGGGCAGGGCCACTGTCTGAGTGCAGTCTGTATGTATTCATGCACAGGGAGGGGGCGCGGCTCAGGGCTCTTGTCTGCTGGATCAGTCTGTGGCTCATGAGTCAAGAAATCCACCTCCACGTGCTGGGCCAGGGATTATCTTAAACATTTCAGCCAAAGGGCAACACGGCCACGCTGGGATCAGCCTACTGCACTCATGCATGCTTTCCACAAACACGGCATGTCATGAATTTTGAATGTTGAAATCTGTTTGTGTCTGCAGCTGCACGTGCAAACCAGTGATAAATGCTGTTCAAATGAGACCCGTATCTGTGTCTGTCTAATTAATATATTTATAACAGCAGCCAGTCCCTGCATAAAAAAGGCTTTTCCTTCTTCCTCTCCTGCTGCCAAACTAAATTGATTACAGAAATATATGGAAAAATTATGACAAAGACTGAAAAAAAACCCAGAAAATATTAAAGGGGTAAATTGTTAATTGGTTAATTGTGAGATCTGGCAACACTGTGTAGACTCGATTTTGTAGAGTTTGTTGGGGGGGGGGGGTTCTCTCTCTACAAATAATGTCATGTTTTTTGTGTTTAAGCTGTACTCCCTTTGGCCAGGTCGGCATTATAAATAAGAACCAGTTCTCAAATGACCTACTTGCCTAAATAAATAAAATAAATAAATGAAATACTGGAGGTGGCGTTTTAGGGTTGATTTTTGCAGCTTCTATTTGCTTGTTTTCCCTCGCGGGCTCTGCAAATAGAAACTGTTACTTGGTTGCTTGGTTTTTCTCGCGAGACCTGGCAACACCGGTGATGGGCGTTTCGCTTGTTCTTCTTTACATACTTTTCTTTGGGCTGCTGTGTAGTTTTCTCTCGCGAGACCTGGAAACCGTGAACGTGAATGGTCACGGAGCCAACTGTAGATTGTGTCGTACTTGGACACGGGGCTAAGCCGTACAGTTCGGTCAGTCACCGTGTCAGGAGTCTGTGCATGTGAGTCAGCGGTCAGGTGTCGTGCAGTTCATCTGGTTCCGGGCACGGTGCCAGGGCAGCGCGGCTGTTGTTGTTGTTGGAGGAGGAGGCGGCGGCAGAGCGGACACGTGAGAGCGTGGCTCAGCTCATCCGTGCCGCATGACTGGAGAGAGGATGCACGACTTCAACGGAACCACATGTTCAAACATTCCATTTAACCCTGTGATGAATACTGCATTAAAGTGACGCAGGAATTATTCAGGAAGGCATCGCCACACAGTAGAAAGTACCGTGTGCTTGTGTCCTGTCGCTGAGCTCCCGGGAGTATTTTTAGCGCCGTGTTTTTATCCGCCTCACCGCACCATTACATATATACCTCTCAAAACGAGGCAACGAGATATGAGGCTTCTTCCTGTTGTCCAGAGGCTGTACAACGTTACACCACAGAGGCTAGAACTTTGTACAGTAGCCGAAAAGGAATGTGACAGTTAACATGGCTGTCCTGATAATAATAACACAAAAATAGGCATGAAAAAAATGATCAGTACCATAAGTCATCATCGAAGGTCTATAGGAAAGGAATGCTGTCAAAGGGGAAGTTGGAATTAAATTAAATTTACATTGTTTTGAGGGGGAAAAAACTAGTGATAAGAAGTAGGGGATATTTAACTTTTTAACTTTTTGCCGATGTCGGATATGTCTATGTTGTCAAAACACTTAACAAACCACTGTATCAGCATACGGTTAATTAAATGAGCTGCAATGCTGCCATCTAGTGACGTTCGCTTTAGTATACAGCGTTTATCCCCATAACTATTTTTAGGGCACACATCATTCGGCCCAGACTTTGCGTTATCGGGTTTTTATTATCGTAGGAAAAACGATAAGGATTCTTACAGATATTACATAACATGCTAAATATGTCCAATAGTTATTATTAGACATCCCTAATCAGAAGTATAAATTATTAAAAAAATAATTTGAGTGTCTCAACTTAATGCAAATGTAATAGATGATGAAAACATTTCAAATAGATTTTCTTTTGTTTGTTATAACATCAAGGTCTACATGTCTATTTATCCTCACTCTTAACTAACATCCACCCAATCCTTCCTCCACCTACAGGAGGCGGAGGAGTCATCCTGTACGCAGGATCCTCGGGCAGCTCCAGCCCCAGCCCCGGCAGCCCCTCCAGTGGGTACCAGACCCAGTCGCCTTCTTCCCACTCTCAGCCCTCATCTCCGGAGGAGGTTACCTTCACAGAGATTGGCCCGTTGAAACAGAGGACAGCTGGGTGTGCCACTCCGTCCTCCAAACTGGTTTTCCAGTTCCCAGAAGTCTACAATGGAGCCACAGTAGCGGCCGCTCCACAGAACACCTTTACGCATCCCATTGCAGGAAAGCGGCCTTGTGGCATTCCAGGAACTTTTACCAGTACGTTCTTCATTACTGTGTTCATTAAAGTGAGGAATTTTTAACATTGTATCTGAAACGACAGAGTTTGACTGTGTTTACCTTATGGTTTTACAGAAACAGGAGGAATGGTCCTGCTTTGTAAAGTGTGTGGGGACATTGCATCTGGTTTCCACTACGGTGTGCACGCATGTGAGGGTTGCAAGGTAAGACGTAGATCTGTTTTTTTTGTTTGTTTGTTTTGTTTGTTTGGTTTATCGACCTCTCAAACATGTCAGACCATTCGAAATCGACTAAAAAATAAAATAAAATAAAAGAATAACTTAAAATTGTCCTAAATTGTACATTGGAAGGTAAAAAAATACCGCCATGACGACCAGCTAATCTTTAGGCCGGCTCTGTAGTGGTTTGGTGCTGCATTTTAGCCAGTGATGTTTCAGAACAGTTTGAAATATAATACCCTCACAAGCTCTTGCCCTGAGTGTAGACCTAATAAAAAAAGATCTGTTGTCTAAAGTTCTATTGCAGGATGTCCTTGGAAACTATTCCACTACACAGTTCTGTTCATAGTAAATGTTGATTTTAAAGGTTGATTCCATAATTCCTCTGCTATAAGAATGATATTTGTGTCTTTTACCACGAGTGGAACAATCCAACTCGTGTCCCATTTTCCTGATGAAACACAGATGTGACCAAAGACTTATCACTCCTCAGTATTAAAACAACACGAGGCCTGCTTTTTTTTAAAAATCGTCTTAATTTAATCTCTGTGTGTATTCCAGGGTTTCTTCCGCCGCAGCATCCAGCAGAACATCAACTACAAGATGTGCGTGAAAAATGAGAACTGTCTCATCATGCGCATGAACCGCAATCGGTGCCAGCATTGCCGTTTTAAGAAATGCCTCTCAGTCGGCATGTCAAGAGATGGTGAGAAATCCCGACACATTTTTAATCAGAGGGACCCTCATGTGTTTCCGTCTGAACACCACAGTGCCCTGATTAGGCAAAGCAGCAGGGAGATGTGCAGGCAGAAAGAGGCAGAGTACAGATATGTAGGTCTGTGTGAAAAATGTAATGCAGCAAGTCTTTTGAGGTCATGGT